GATTTTATGGCCGCAGTATAATTTGGCGCAGTGAACTCAATTGAATTGGCAGGTTTTTAGATATCACAAAAATTCTTCCTATTCTGTTTACCGAAATAGCATTGTATTTGCATTGAACTTTTGCTGCAACCTCATCATTGACATTACGTCAAAGATCACGTACCAGATACCCTCATAGCGGAAGTAAAATCGACTGTTATTCCTATATTTTCCGACTATTATTTCTTCATGTTGCTTACACGACTTCCCAATAATTCTTGTAATTTTACCCAGGCTGTTTTGCTGTGTTCTTTCTAAGGTCTCAGTATAGTTACAACGGCTGCCCCACCCTTCAAACCGAAACGCATTATCCTTCACGGTAGAAATAGGCAGGGCGGTGGTACCTACCCGTGCGGACTCACAAGAGGTCCTGCCACCAGTAATTACGCAAATTATAATTTTGTGGGTTTGATTTTTATTAGATAATGTTATTCCTTCACAGTAGAAGTCAATCGTGAACATTTGTTAAGTAGGTATTTCATTAGAAACCCGCCTGCGGGATTCGAACACTGGTGCCTCGCTACATACGAATGCAGCGGACGGCTTATCCTTTGGGCCGCGATGGCTAGAATGATTCTAGAATAGCTAGAAGACGATTTTAATGATTATCTTCATCGAATATAATTCAAAGTTAATGGGATCTTAATGACTTCACTTTAAAATAGTCTACAGAATAATAATTAATATAAAGCTTTCTATATTCCATACGAAAAATAGTTAACACTTAATTACAAACAATTTGAACATACATTAATGGATTAAAAGTTAGTTTCTTATATTAATTTATTGTTGATTATTATTTACATTATTTCTGTACGGACTATTTCTGTAAAAACCTCATCTAAGGTACACCACTTCTTTCTATCTCTGGCGATTTTCAGCCAATCTTTACCAGCCACTATTACAATTTCGTCTACCCACCTGACGTATGGGCGGCCTTTAGCTGTCTTTCCTCGCGGAATTGCCCATACGACCGATCTTTTTGCCCATCTGTTGTCGTTGTATCTATCCAGATGGCCTGCCCGTTTCCATTTCCTTTGTAGCGAGAATATTAAAGCATCTGCTATTTTCGTAATAATACTTACTTACTTTCACCTGAATAATAATCAAAATAGTCTAGATAGGCGATAAAAATCCAACTACGTCGGTCAAAAATTTTGCAGATACGAAACAATTATGTGATCGAGAGCCGCTCGTGAAGCCGTTGGAAGCTTTTTTTTTCCTACCTGTGCTGATACCCTTGAGAGGCTGTATCAGCTTCTCCTTGACGTGTAGGTGAGCTCACGGGGCTCAAACCGAGTGTGTTGCTAACACTGGCCCTAGCAAGAGCAGTGCTTCGCAGAATCTACCACTGGATCGGAAACGCGACCCACTGAAAAGATCCGGCGAGAAACTCAGTGGGCTGTGTCTATGAGGTAATTCGCTCGTCGAGCCCTTCGTCGCAAGCTACGGGTTCGACGAGGACTGTGACCGGAGTTGGAAGCAAAATTTGCTTTATAAACCCGAACTTATCAATGATGGATTTTACAGATTTTTTCGCTAATTTTTGAAGACTTGCGATAAATTTCTAAATCGTCATGATTTCATACCTATATAATCTGTAGGTGCTTCGGAGAAGGCAGCTAGCCTTATTCACAATATTTCTTAACAATCCGAATTGGATTCGCAAAAGTATCAGAGCATTTTTCCGCGCAAAAGATCGTATTAAAAATACTTGTAAAATTAAATAGCTGGTAAACATTTTGAAGTAATAGCAGTTTTAATTTACCTAGAAAAAAATATGTTTCAATTTATTTCAATTAAGTAAAATATTAAATATAAATATAAAAACATTAAAAATATTTCCAAAAATTCCAAAACTGTATTTTGAAAACATTTTATAGCAATGTTATTCCAGTATTGTGTATGTAGTTAAATAGTTTATTTTAAACAAAAGAATTAAGTAGAACATTGTATTATTCATTTCATTACGAAGCACAATTTTTACGGCTCCACAAAAGAGTCATCTAGCGGTAATGTATAGAAATATTGTGAAAGTACCTTTCAAATTTCAACTTACGACACGTAATAGTTTTAACATCTGCCAATAGATGTCATAATACAGAGTGCATCAAAAATACCCTAAAAATAAATTACTAAAAAATGAGCTAAAAACAGCAAAATAGTTTAAAACACTAAGCCGATTTTAAATAATAAGAAGATTCTATCTTGGTAATGAGAATATTCGACCAACATAAAAATATAATTGTATTGTCATCGGTCTTTGATACGTGTTCAAACGTTAATCGAACCTCTTCGAACTGGGTAAAATTGGGTACACTAAAAGATATCGTCAGATAAATAGGGCAAGTTTATAGGGGCAAATTACAAGATACCTTGTTTTTTTTACAAAAAGTATTTATCAACATGTCCTTTATATAGTATTCTAAGCATGTTTGGTTTAATATTCTGAAAGGTAGCCTAAAATAGGACCATATGATTGCATTTAAAAAAAATGACACTGATATCCAAATATTATTATGACAAAAAGAGAAAGATATGGTGATATTAAGACGTATCCTAAGTCGGTAAGAGTTTACCATTAATACTTCGATCAGTTATTGTTGATCGAAGCATTAATATGTCCTAAAGATAATCATTCAAAATGCAGTTTACGCAGTAAGCGTGGTGAACCCTTTTTGGAAAATTCTAGTTGTTTATCCATTGATTTACTTCAACTCCCTGTGTTTATCTATTTAAATATCTTTAACATGAACGATACCTAAAATTGAACAAATTGTTTGTATTTTATAAAGAAAAAAACAACGACTTGTAAGACCGATTACACAAATTTCAGCAACTACTTGGATATATTTAAGCTCTTTAAGATAAATTCCTGTAATTTCTTTTGCATACTGCATACGATACATAACAGCAGCAATGATTTTTAACTCATCATGACTTAAGTGGTAAGAACATAGCACTGGCAACACTAAAAACCTTTATGTGATATCTTGGTTGCACATACGGATTTCATAACGAAAGCGAAAGAGATAAGAACATTGTTTTTAGAAATATTAGACGCGGATTAGTGAAGACAAGAGACAAGTCAGACAACTCTGCTCATCACAAATGTCAAAACTCTCTCGATGCCAAGTAATAATTTATTGCTTGTTTTAATAATTTTTAAACAATATTTATCAAAAATGCATCGGGATCGAGTTTTCCGTGTTCACGCCGCGATTGTCGTTGCGCGAAGTAATACCCATTGCCGGATTAGTGCCGTATCAAGAATTTTACTTGCTACACTTGAAAATGTCAGATTGTTTTTTAGTGTTTTTCATAATATTCTGGCAAAAAAAGTCATACAAATAGGTTCAAAGTTTCCCATGGAAACCTCGTGTTGTTTGGGTAGGCTGAAATCCGAAATGATGTGATCCTACTAATGAAAATGAGTTTTTTTGTTTTGTTGTTTTGAGGTTAGTTTTTGTTCCCGCTTTAGAGGCAAGTTGTTCCAGTCTGGTGTCAGCGGTCCGGTGAGTAATAGTCTATAAGTTCTCACTTAAAGGACTGCCAAAACTCTGTAACTCGAAATAGCCACAGAAGGCTATATTTTTTGAGAAATTGCATCCTATCCAACTACAATGTTTACAAAGCAGAACTATACAATAGACAAATGTGTGTGTTTTATTCTGTATAAATTGAAAAGGAATAAAGTTTTTTTATATGTAAAACTACTCTAATACTGTCTGTCAAGAGATTACAATGTATCAACAAAGAACTTAAATAAACTAAAAATAATTATAAGTACAGTTGTTAAGATTTCACAAAAAATTTATATCCTGCATGTAGCTGAAGGTAAGATGATGTTTACTTTACTTACAATATAAACAGTATAGCCAACAGCTATTCAAAAGTAAGTAACTTGCATAATTATGCAAAACTACATATTACTTTATTATAAGTAAATGTGTTTATTGGACATTCAAGTTTTCTTGATAAATAAGTGGTGCTGTTGCTATGATTATATAAAAAAATTAGTTTTAAATGCAATAGTATTAATTAGTTTAATAATAATATCAATATATTTAATTAGTATTTTAAAAGTCCGGTGGTCTTACTGTTGTTCATAGACTTAAAAGTAAAGTACACATAAATAACTTTAAAACTTATAATATAACATATATAATATAATAATTGTCACATCATGGCTTTAAAATTTTGGGTTCGATTCCCATAAAAATATATCAAGATAGAGAAAATAACAACAAATTGGAAAGTGATTTGTGACAACTGGGTTCGATCCTCAGATTTTTTTGTGGAACAATTTTTCTCAATCAAAGGTTTTTTGTGTCAAGAAGTAGACCAAAATACAGTACTAATGTGACCTTGACATTTTAAATTCAGGGTTCAAACCCCTGAAAATAATTTAGGAGTCTCTTCTTACAAAATATAAATAAGCATGACTTAAACCGTTTACTGGATGCATTTGATATCTGACAATTATTGAAGTGCTTTGTTGACGGCAATGTCAGTGTTATTCCCATTGACTTTTTTTTATTATTGCAATCTTCTTACCTCATGTCTCAAGGTGAATTTGGTATGTATATGATTTTAAGAACTACCTTAAATGAGGAGGACTGCCTGCCTGCAAAATCTATCAATGTTACTTTGAGTTGAATTCCCAGATAAACTATTGTGATTAAAATAAATAAATAGATAAAAAGTTTTTGTGGTTACATAGTGTGATGTGTATTGTGGTTTTTTATGTTTAGATAGGTGGACGAGCTCACGGCCCACCTGATGTTAAGTAGTTACCGGAGCCCACAACTACAACGTAAATGACGCCACCCACCCTGAGATATGAGTTCTAAGGTCTCAGTATAGTTACAATGACTCCCCCACCCTTCAAACCGAATCGCATTACTGCTTCATGACAGAAATAGGCAGGGTGGTAGTACCTACCCGTGCAGACACACAAGAGGTCTTACCACCAGTGGAAGTCAATCATGAACATTTGTTATGTATGTATTTCATTAGAAAAATTGGTATCCGCCAACGGGATTCCAACACCAATGCATCGCAAAGTACGAATGCACTGAACATCTTATCCTTTTGGCCACGATGACTTAAAACTTCGACTTCAGTTTGGACCCTATTCATCTATGCAGAAGAAGGCTTATGTCCAGGAGATAACTCACATGGTTCATAAGTTCCATAAACTGGGTTAGATTCTCAGTTAGACTACTAAAAATCATGATAGTGTGGTAACAGACTTTCAACCTCAAATCAAAACATATGATATAATCTAGGTTCGAGCCCTAGATGAAATATTTACATGAGATCTTGACGACTGTCTATAGACAGGTGGAAATTATCGAAATTAACAGTTAGGTGGTCTAAGGAAAATGCTTTATAAATAATATAAATAAAATAATAATTGTAAATTTTTTGGTAATCTAACTGCCTTGGTTTGAGTCTCAATTCGTTTTATTGTTATTTGAAACAATAGACTTTGATTATGATTGGTTTTTCATCAATAGTATTAATGAATCCACTTTTATTGCTTACGAAAAATAGACAAGCCTAACTTGTGGTTACCACATCCCATTGACTTTGAAACTTGAATGTCAAAACACACTTCTATGTTTGAGACTAATTCTCGTTATTATAATTAGAAAGCTTGCTATCAAACGTGCTATAGAAGTAGCTTCAGGTAGTTTTTGTAAAATTATGTTTGAATTGATACTTAATGAAGAGACAATATGGCCCCTGCCTATGCAATGCTAAGTCAGATTCCCATAATCAAAACGGAAAAATATTTTGATTGCTATATATTTCTGGAAGTAGAGTTAATAGCGCTGATATTTAGTGGTTACCGGTATTAGTAGTTCATAAACTATGCAGAGTGAATGCTGCCACCCAGCCCTAAGACTCTGAGTCGAAGTTTCAATATTGTTTGACAACTCTCTAACTTATTGTGGCATAATTGGGCTTATTGATACTTACTCCTGCAGTCTCATAATATTCTCCACCAGCAGGTAAGTTCGAAAGAATTATAGAAATATTGTAATCTTTTCTTGAAAAGACAGTAAATGTCCTACGCTAAATAAACTTATTATCAAGACATTGAAAATTTTTCAGTTTGGTATCTCCCAAAAAGATATTCGTGGAAAGCATTTTAAAAGGTTAATTTGGAAACTAATTAAAATCTAACTTAACGAAATTATTGTGATATATAAATATAATGTCGAATATAATTAAATTTTATTCCTCAAAGTACACACATTGTCTCAAGTTTTGGTGTCCTTTTCATTTATATATTTGAAACTTTTGAGTTTTAAAACAACCATGGTGCCATTTTTTTTAAACATTTAACTTAATGAAAAACAAAAGTATTAGGTATTATTTTTAGTTTTTTTTTGTTGTTGTAAAAGACATAAAATTTGTATCTGTTTTTTTTATGAATAAAGAAAACAAAACCTTTGTTTATTTATTACCCTAATAAAGAAATTCGGAACGCTTCGTCTATTTATTTACCTTTTTTCCCCGATTACCCTCAATCCTACCCAGCAATCAATTATATGACTGCATTTTTGTCGCGATTTGCATATGCTCTCTTAAGCCTTAAAAAATAACAATATTTATTCATTAGGCCGTTAAGAAAGCATTTGCGTCATAAATAAAATTAGTTTAAAAACAATACAGAAACCTGTGTTTTATTCCCAAGGGCAAAGGTATTAATGATCTGGTTATACCCAACAGTTCCCGCGCAATTTATCCCAGGAAGAACGGGCGCCGGACTCCTGATATTAAACGGTTTCACTTTCTACATGAAGAATCACCAGGCGTACGGGAAGAAGCAGTGGTATTGTTCGTCTAGGGACGTCCACGGGTGCCGCGCTGACGTCATCACTTGCAAAGGTGCCGATGGAAGAGATTATATTTCCATATTCCGCGGGAGACATATCCACGATCCCCCCCGTTTAAGGCAATGTCACGACGGTAGATTTATAAGGGAAAAAGATTTTGTAATAGGCAGACATTATACTAAGTGATTTATATCCTTTGTGAATCTAAAATCATGTGATGTACTTATACAAATGTGACTTGAGCCTGTTTCTGATGTAGGGACCTGCTAGTTTATTAGTTTTAATTTATAAGGATAAGTTATGTAGATTTATAAAAAAATAATCAAAAAATATATAAAAAAAAAGAATCGACTAATGATTGTAGCTTTTATTTTACATTTGTTGAATATAGCAAAACGCAATCGACGAACCCATTCTGAAGTATTGTATTAAAGATTAATTTTATTAGTTTCATTTTATTTAATTTAAAGCTTAGCGGGTATTTAAAAAAAAAAAAAAAGTGATTCTGTTCTGTTGGATACTGTTGTATCCGTTTTTTGTTGTAATGTACACATAATGATGCCTGAGCTCGGTTTCAGATATATACTATTTGCCGTCGCACCGGACCGGTAGCATGGTGCTGATTTACAAAGAGAACAAGTACTGGATAAACAATCGTTATCAGAACACTATAAATTGGACGTGCAGAGATCGCAAGAGGATCGGCTGCACGAGCTGCGTGCAGACCACGATCGAAGGACGTTACATCAAGCACAAGGGGTTCCACAATCACGACGACAATTACACCAAATACAATTTCGATAAATGATTGACGTATTGAAATTAAAATTGCTCACGATCAATGTATGTATGTGTGTTTGCTAGTAACGTGGGTCGATACAGCGGTTTTCAAATGAAATTGGACGAATCATGACCGAAAAATATTCAACACCCTGAGGGATTCCGTATAGATTCCCTTCTTTATTTCGCGTGAAAATCGCGTTTTTGGATCACTCCTAATTAACACCACAATAGAACCAATAGGAGTTTTATTGTTGCAGCGGCTTACACAGTTTTAAGTTATACCATATAATTCTTTTCGTCTTATGTATTTTTGGCGGTAAAAAAAATCTCGTGTCACAGACTATCTTCTTTTTTCCACCTCTCGTGCATTCCGGCTTACGCATCATAGAAAAGGTTTAAACGCCACAACCCTTAAAAATATTGTTTAAAATTTATGGCAATCATTGACACTTCACTTTTAGTTTATTTTTTCGTATTAAATCTATAAATTTCATCGGTGTTATATCAATTACGAAAACTCGCTTGTACTGCACGCGTCACTATCCCATTGAGTTTCTCGCCTGATCTTCTCAGTGGGTCGCGTTTCCGACCCGGTGGTAGATTCTGCGAACCACGGCTCTTGCTTGGGTTCGTGTTAGCAACATTGTCAGGTTTGAGCCCCGTGAGCTCACCTACTAACTCGGCGAAGCTGACATGGTCTCTCTCTCATCAGCTTAGGTATAAAAAAGCGGTAGGTAATCAAGTTACTTATGGGCTGTGTGCTACCTAAAAATAACGCGCAATTTAAAGGATACAACAGCCGGTGATGTAAACTTAATAAGGATGTCAAGATGCCCAAATTGGAAGTTAGTGCTTCTAAAAAAACCTGTGTGATATGTTTTTTTTTTATATGTTTCGTTGGAATCGTATCGGCTGCCTGTAAAAAAAGTGTTTTAAGTTTAAAAAATGTTAATAGCTAGTAAATATCATTGGTCAACGTTTTAAAATTATCTGTTGATAAGGCTCTTCGAATAGATCATACTACCAAATTAGGGTTCTGTATAAGGAATTTCGTGTTAGGAAAACGGAATGCGCGCTTAAATAAAGAAATCGGCTTGGGCCTATGTTCGTAAATTTTACAAACGAGAGCGCAAATAAAATCTAAATTTATATTTCTGGCATGGAAACCTGGTTAGGACGAAACAGTTTAAGCAGATAGACGAAGACCAGGTCAGTATGTAACACGTATGTTTGGAGCTCAAAGTATTTTGGCCAAATTGTTTTAACGATTGAAAGATCTACTGTCTGTCAAAACTTTCGCCGCTATCATTAGAGACGCTATTTAAGGGTTTCTAAAACACGATGTTCTTTAGTACTGATTTTTTTTTTATTGCCCTTGTAGGCAGACGAGCATACGGCCCACCTGATGGTGAGCGGTCACCGTCGCCCATGGACTTCAGCAATGCCAGGAGCAGAGCCAAGCCGCTGCCTACCGAATTCAGCAGAAAGGCGAGCCGTACATTACTTACGGGAGAAACAGTGTGGCAATCGTGTCAATGAATATGTATAATGACTTGTGAATAGTCTCACGCAGATAAACCGCTTAGCTTAACGACCTTGAAAGCTCTAACACAATTAACAATAAAAAAGAATCATCTACCCATGAAAGCAGGTGAACTTAAAATCGACTTGGATTTCGTGCAGGGTCATTATTTCTGCATATTATAAACAATTTGCAGAGATTAGTTGATGATTTTTGCGGCTACCCGCTAGTGTGGTTATTATTAGTGATGAAATAATTTTTTCTTAGCTTTACGGCTACGGACAACATAATATCTTACGATTGTTTTTTAAAATAAATATCGGCAAATATTATGGATAGTAGATATTATTTATTACATTAAATAAAATGTTTCTTTTGTTATATCAATTAATACTAAGGACTTTTAAAATTTAATTCAGAAATCGTAAAATTTCGATCATCAATCTGTTCCTTTTTTTTAGTCATAAAAATCGCAATTATAATCGACGATAACGGATCAATCTTAACTAGATATTATTTCAAATACCCCACTTTCCTGTTTGCTCTTTTGACCATCTCTTTGAATGGGTTTAAGTCGACATAATAACAGTTTATTTATTTTGTAAGTGTGTGGATGTAGTAAGAAATGCAGTAGCTATTACATTATAAAAGAACTGCTTGCAGTTGGAATACCCTTAGGGATATTGTTAATAGTAAGCGAGACTTGAATTTCGAATCTATTCCAGTTTAATAAAGTAATTAATACCGAATCAACGGCATTATTAAGTCAATAATATGTACTGTAATTTTCATTATACAATCAAATATGTAATTGATACGTTTAGTAAGTATTCTTATAATGATACTGTTGATAAACGAACTGCAATTGAAATTTCGTGATCTCCTCAATATTCCAGTTTAGATTTTTAGTGGTTTTATATGTTTTGTAATTAGTAGTAATAAGGTAGGAGTAGTATAGTAGAAATGCTGAGGTATTTAAATCCTATAATCCCCGTACTAGTTATATTAAAAAATTAAATATAGTTTGTCTGATCGAGTGAATTGTAAATTGTCTGCCTGAGGGCTGTTCCCGATAATAAAGACCAGCAATCGAAAGTTTATTAAACCAGTCTTTGTATTGTACGCAATGTAACATGCGCAAAAATGAACCGGCACTGAGGGCGTCCAACACGTGCCTTAGACTTACATTGCTGGTTTGCGGTCAGGCTGCGTGCTAAGTTTACGGATTACCTTACATCGCTCATACCTTGGCTTCGAGTATCAACTCGTTATGAGATGGTAATAGCGTTCCTTGAACGGTGTGATTTTTTAATTTAAGCGCCATCTAGAATCGAGCGACGAAACTTCGAAGTAGCTCGTTAATAATGCATTCGAGCGATAGATGGCGTTGATTATGCTAAATTATGTGTATGTACCTAAGGTTGTCTGGATCCTTCATTAACTATTAAGGTATAATTATACATATAAATTAAAACATTTGAATTTCGTTTGTTTTGTAGTGCTGAATAATTGGACTTTCCAGAATTTTCGAATTTCCTAGTCAGTGCATTGTTTTTATAGAAAAGTATGTGCCAAACTCTTCAATTTATAATTTTATTATAGTGTAATAAAATCGGATACGTAAAATTCTCAAATAAATTATTGAATATAATGAATGGTACGGTTTTTTTTTATTGTTGCTCAAATAGAAAATGTATTAAAAGACATTCTGAACGATTGCATTAGTTTAATACATAGATTAAATTACTTGCAAGGTGTCGAATGAAGTCTAGGTAAGTGTACAATCGTTGCTATTAGAACGGTGACCGGAACCGATTTTTTTTTTTTCAAAAACCATAATAGTGCTAAAAGATCTCAAACGTTTTAGTGCTTATGGTGAAAGGGCGTAACGGAAAAAACTTACTAATGCTCAACGGTTACACGTATTACCAACATAAAGTGCTCAAAGACGGTTACCGATGGAGTTGCACTCAGATGGGGTCCAGGTCGTGCAGAGGATTCTTGCACGTCACAAACGATATGCTGGTTATACGAGCGCAAACAGAACATACTCATCCACCCTCGAAGTACTTATTGGAGAGCACGAAAATGCAGAGATCTTATGTAAGTATCAAATTTTTTTTATCTAGTAACGTAAGTGTTGTTCCGGAAACCACAGCGGATTAAGCTTACTAATTTGCGTGACATTTGCAATCTGTGAGATCAAATATTTGAGGAATTATAACATGACATATCCTTCTTCAAACGAGGCTTGTGGAGAGTACTTAACGGTAGGCAGCGGCTTGGCTCTGCCCCTGGCATTGCAGAAGTCCATGGGCAACAGTAACCACTCACCATCAGGTGGACCGTATGCTCGTCTGCCTACAAGGGCAATAAAAAAACACTTTTACGAACGATAGCCAAAAAAGTTACGAAAACAATAGTTCGCTAACTTGTTTTTTTTTGTTTTTTTACCACATATGTAGTATGCCAATTTGGAAAGTTTCAAGGTAAGCCTTGCCAATGAGATGCCAAATTTCAATATGTGCAATACGGGGAAATCATTTTAAGATGCCATTTTAGCCAGTTGATGATGATGAAATTTAAGCCTCAACCAATTGTCTCGGGTAATAGCTATGTAATTAATCTCACCAAGCATATTGCTTGCTCCAAGCAATAGAAAATTGTTCCACATGTCTCTGGGTCTGTGGCACCCACCTGACATGAGCGGGGGCCTGATAACCACAAAATTTATAGACCTTGTCTTTTGCCCATGATTAGAAAAAAAAAACTTCAGAGGTGTCAAGGGACACCCGGATGGAATGAAGTTCCTTTCGATTAATTAGTGAAGGAATTGTAATTTTTTTTTTAAGTTATAATAATAAATTACGGCATTATGAAGAAGAAAAAAACAATACTATGAACTAAATTACTATTGTTGAAACGCTATCTCGAGAAACTGTACTCATTACGCGGACCAATNAATAAATTACGGCATTATGAAGAAGAAAAAAACAATACTATGAACTAAATTACTATTGTTGAAACGCTATCTCGAGAAACTGTACTCATTACGCGGACCAATCGGATACGAGCAATGTCACGCGATAAGCGCCTACACGTTGATTGGTCAGAATGACGGATCTAAAAAGTGTCGTGACAACTTTTCGTAAGAATTTTTTCCGTCTTCCAAAAAACATTTAAAAATCATGACATCTTTGTTATTTTCAACTACAATAATGACTAATCTATATCTTTATTAGTATAATACCATGTTATATTTTAAGGTTACTAAATGGTTGGCACAGAGCAAACACAAAGAGATTCAATGCTTTTCATTATTTCTGATAGGGGGAGCCTTACGTATTTGAAGAAGCGATGTTACTTCAATTAAGAATATTTTAATTATTGTGGTATTGTTTTTCATTCTAGACGAGGAGACCGAATGAATCTATAAATCCAATAGCGTTTAAAATAAGCAAAATACACGGGAGATCTTCTTTTTAATTAATCTATTTAGAGTTATTTGGTTCTCTTCAAGGGATAACTGGACTTGCAATTTGATAGTGCAAATCGTGTCGATTACATTCATAATATATTATTGTTAGCTCTTGAATTGTACTAAGGATTTATTTTGTATTAAATAACAAGTAAAAAATTGTTGAATAACTAAAATATATTGTATATACATTAGATCACCATTGTATCTTATAATCATGTATGATTATTAAAAAATATAACGCCATCAACAAAATATCATTTTTTATTTTTTTTTCTCTTGCCATAATTTGTCTTGATATGTTTTTGTCTTTAAATATTATTGTAACGAACAATCCACTTAATATTGTACGATGATTTTGCCTGAACTTAGCGTAAAAATAAAATCGTAACGACATTGGCTGCCGTAAACCGTGTCCTTTCGATTCTAATATTGCATGCAATAAACAAAATTAACCTCGACAATTATACGATTTGTCAATATTTTGTCCCGCAGTTGAGTTCTACTTGCGTCCAAGCGGTCGGATCAATCTCCGCTTAAACAATTTTACTTTCTACAAGCATTTGAAGGCCAGGTCCAACGCGTACCGCTGGAGTTGCACTGCTTACGGTTCGAAATGGAAATGCAAAGCGCATCTCGTCATCACCGATAAACTCGAAGTTCTAAAGGCGAATATTCTTCACAGTCATCCGCCCACCTCGAAACGACCGGACGTTCGGAAAATCGTTGATTTGAAACACTCGATTAACGAGAGAGAGATTAAAAGGGTTGGTAAAATAAAATCGGACATCGGAACTGATTCTCAATCGAATTACACTCTGACGTCACCGCTTCATAATTATCTCGTGGCTCACAGCGTTTTCGGAACCTATTAAGATCGAAGACCAATTAATTTCAATTTGTCATTTTTATCTTTCCTTTTTATTTTCTCGAAGCAATAAATTGCTATAAAAATATATATATTAATTAGTAATTTTATGGATTATTCGAACAGCTCTAGAGCTAATTAGTGTTAAGACCGTAAGATTATGATTCTTGATTTTAGTATGCTCATTTTTAGCAACGTGCCTTTACAAATAACGTGTCTTCTAGAATTAACATCTATGAATCATGAATGTCTCCGGTATATCATTGTAGTTTTATAAATTGTAAAATAAGTTATTTAATCGTTTGAGTGTGATAATTTGCATTTCGTAATAAATTGTCCAGTATTATTTTGTGATCGTTTTAAATTATTTTAAGGAAATATGTATATTAAGACTGCTGGTTTTTTTTTTTTTTGTGATAATACGGCATCTAATTTTAGATCTCAGAAGCATTTTAGTGATGTGAAGTTTTTTTTTTCCTTATGTGTCCTATTTTTAAAGTAAGTTTTTCGCATTACTTTTAACTTTGATTTCATTTATTCTTAAGCTTTTTTTTACGAACTTTTGTATACGATTAATGTTTTCTAAATTAAGTATTTGATCAATAATGCTTGCCCTCGTTCTACTATTTTATATATCTTTATTAAATATTGAGTATACGGAAATATTGTTTCAATGTTACTACATCCTATATCCAGAATTCGATTTTATTTATCCTAAAGATAAAATTTAGTTTTCAAAGCTATGCATCAAGCTATAAAAGTACCGATCTTCAATCTCCGCATCGAATGCTGTCACTTTATTTGAGGTCTTTGTACGTACAGATATTGATGTCAAACTTTTGTTCTAAATAAAATGTAGGTACGAATGTATAAAACAATTTATTTTGGTTCGATTAAAGAGTTGAAACTATTGTATTAATACCCCGAATAAAGTGCCATTGAAACTGACCTAAATCGAGTTACACAACAAAGATACCGATTCATTCAAGAAGAGATTCATTCAGTGGGGCGGTGCAAGGTGGCTCCTGTGCGCCGCCCACGGTGTATCTCCCGAAATGACGTCCTTCGGGAGTTTCCCGGAGATGAAATCCCGTCTTATCATCAAGACGGGTACCGGCGAAGGCGGACTTTCGGCGCGCACTGCGGTACCATAGGTCTGGTGTAGCCCGTGTGGTGTATCTCGATGGGGTTTAGTCGGTAGTCGTTCTGTGGGGCAAGTGCTTCGCGCGCCTTTTTCAAGACGTAGTCTCCTGCGAGGAATTCGGGGAGGTGGAGGACCTTGGCCCTCCTCGTCCCCCTCTTCCTCTCATATAGAAAAGATAGATAAAAGCAAAATTGTTCAATTAATTTCAAACAACGAATACGACAAAAAATGCAACATTAATACTGGTACTACGGCGCATAAGCAGATATCTGCAAATTGTAACATTATTACGACAAATTTTACAAAATTTCATCTTTATTGCAAAGACAGAAGAAGCTGTTTTATATGCCTATACAGTTGGAGCTGATTAGCGGCGTCGGCGGAGTTCCTCACAAGCCTGAGACATTTGGTGGCATATGTGTAGTGGAACCAGATTTATTATTATAATTATATATCATGTATAATACATGGTTATGGTTACATCATGTACATGGTTATGGTGTACGTGATTATCGCATCGGAACTCATTCTTTTTTTTATTTTTTTTATTGCTTAGATGTGTGGACGAGCTCACAGCCCACCTGGTGTTAAGTGGTTACTGGAGCCCATAGGCATCTATAACGTAAATGCGCCACCCACCTTGAGATTTAAGTTCTAAGGTCTCAGTAGTTACAACGGCTGCCCCACCCTTCAAACCGAAACGCATTACTGCTTCACGGTAGAAATAGGCAGAGTGGTGGTACCTACCCGTGCGGACTCACAAGAGGTCCTACCATCAGTAATTACACTAGAGTAAGAGCCTAAACTTGCAAGTGGCCGGAAACTTTGAGGATTGTTCACAAATTTTCATCTCCATTCTTCTTTAGAGAGACAGTACTTCATCCTACTACTTCACCGCAGCTGTAATTGTATAAAAACGGCAATCAAAAACGCAAATTGTATTGTGTGAAATGTCGAAAACTGTAACTTAGAAGTGGTGATCCTTTTAAATGCTTAAAAAAGCTTAGGTAAAAAATCTTTTGAGTCAATTTGTTTTATCAGGACGTAGACGGCCGTTGACGTCCGCAGAGAAAATGAGAAGATTCAGAAAGAGATTGAAAGAGGATCCAAAAAAAATGGAAGACTACAAACTCAAGGAATCATTGAGGTATAAGAAGATAGCGGAGATTCCTGAACACGAACAGATAAAACGAAGGAAAAAGTGGAGGGACTCAAAGAGAGTGTCTAGACAGTTAAGGAGGTACTTCAGTAACTGGTAAATAATGACTATCATGGATAACTGATAATATTTTGCTTTGCATTACAAAATAAATTGAATTTTGACGAGCACGCGTATCGCACCTTTAGAATTATAGAGACCCAACCAAAAAAATGTGCTTTTTTGGAAACATCGAATAAAGTTTTCAAACCAAAAGATGTTGAGTAAGGGGACGAAAGAAAGAACCGATTAATAAGTTTGTCCCTATATAAGCTACGTTTGGTAATTTGATTAATAAATTTTTTTTCCTTACATTATTCGTTAGATTAGTTTTTGTTATTGTGTTGTTTTGTCATAATTGTAAGGAACATTGTTATACAAATTCAGCACTATATGTCTTGTTTTGTCGTGCGCACATAACTTATGTTGCAAGCCAGATTTTGTTTCTTTTTATTTGTGTTTTTTATGTATCTTTAGCTTGTGATGTGTATTGTGANACATTATTCGTTAGATTAGTTTTTGTTATTGTGTTGTTTTGTCATAATTGTAAGGAACATTGTTATACAAATTCAGCACTATATGTCTTGTTTTGTCGTGCGCACATAACTTATGTTGCAAGCCAGATTTTGTTTCTTTTTATTTGTGTTTTTTATGTATCTTTAGCTTGTGATGTGTATTGTGAGCCTAATAAAATAAATAAATAAATCGCTGAAAAGTGTCATTCTAGGTCAATTTTTCAATTTGTCGAAATCTAAAAATTTCAAAATGGGTCTCTAAAGGTGCGATATATTCTCCATTTCATTTGTTTTAATATCCTATTTTACAGGCAAGTTGCAGAATGCAAAACTTTTGTTTTTATATATATTTTTAATGCATTAATGTTGTATAATTCATTTCTTTGTCGTCTATTGTATTTTGATTTCGTGTAAGAACTAAGCTGGAGTAGATATTTCATACATTCAAGTGAATTGTCATTTTTGCACCGGTATTTGCACTGGTACTATGACATTTGTGAAATTCGTGATCTCTCAGTAGTTTTACTGTTCCCCTGGCGTTGCTGATATCCGTGAGCAAAATTGAACATTCACCGTGACGTGGGTTTTTTTGCTGGACTCCCTAACTAATTAACCTTTTGGTGCTTCATTGAACTGGCATTCTGTGAACTGTTTTAAAAACAGAACATCGAATTATTTACTGTTTTTTATTAATAATAATAACAATGTTTAATGTATACTACATAATATTAATTTGTTTTTATTAAAAGTAAAGTTTTAAATTACGGAAGTATGTTTTGTGTATAAATTTATTTTATTGCAGATTCAAAGACTACAAAGTGTGTTTTTGTTTCTGCATATTGTAATGTTAAAAAAGTTGTTTGTTTGAATATTATGAATAAATTGTTTTAATTCACAGAATTCTAAAATGTTTCATCCTACGTACATAAATCCCTAAATGAGCAACTTACACGTCATTACGGATCCTCCCGATCCATTAACGGCGCTTTTAGGTACTACAAGCACTGCTCACCGTCGTCGTCGAACTCGTCGCTTGCGACGAAGGGCTCGACGAGTAAATTAACCCATAGACACAGCCCACTGAGTTTCTCGCCGGATCTTCTCAGTGGTTCGCGTTTCCGATCCGGTGGTAGATTCTGCGAAGCACTGCTCTTGCTAGGGCCAGTGTAAGCAACACACCCGGTTTGAGCCCCGTGAGCTCACCTACACGTTAGGGTGAAGCTGAAATAACCTCTCAAGGCTATCAGCATAGGTAGGGAGAAAAAAGAGCAACTTATTGAACCTTCTACTAAGATTATCGTACTAATTACTAACTGTAACTATACTGAGACCCTTAGAACTTATATCTCAAGGTGTGTGGCGCATTTACGTTGTAGATGTCTATGGGCTCCAGTAACCACTTAACACCAGGTGGGCTGTGAGCTCGTACACACATCTAAACAATAAAAAAAATAAAAATTATTCGATTAACGTTTTCTAATCGATTTTGATATGAGATGTTAATTGAATATGAATGTCTTGTAGTACTTATTAGCCCGCATCAAATATCAGTGTCTTACCCATTCGGGCAATGAATAGTTTGCCGAAACGGGTAAGACATGAAGTCGTCGTGACCTAAAAGATAAGACGTCCGGTGCATTCGTATGTAGCGATGCATCGGCGTTCCAATCCCGCAAGCGGGTACCAATTTTTCCAATGAAATACGTACTTAACAAATGTTCACGATTAACTTTCACGATGAAGGAATAATATCGTGTAATAAAAATCAAACTCGCAAAATTATAATTTGCGTAATTACTGGTGGCAGGACGTCTTTTGAGTCCGCATGGGTAGGTACCAGCACCCTGAATATTTTTCTGCCGTGAAGCAGTAATGCGTTTCAGTTCAATTACAATAAAATCATTTTTTCTTACACTATTTTTAATTTAAATTTATTAAAATTTATTTTCTATTTTTTAGTTGAATTTAAAATTTTTTTTAATATTGAATTGTCATCGGTCCTTAATAAGTATACCAAATTTCAAGTTAATCCGACGTTTTGAAGGGGGTCTAAATCATGTTCAAAGATTCCGTTACATACTAACATACATACGTCTGAAGCTAATAAAAGCGTATTAATAAAACGCTCCTTTAATTACAAAGACAAATGTCGCTTAAAAGAAATAGCTTTTCACCCCTCGGAATGTACGAGCGTATCACTCCTTATCATTAAATCTTTTTTCATTTATCTTTTTGTCTTTTGCCGCTACAAATATTAAGCAGCACGTTGAGTTCACCGTGTGATCATCTATAAAAATAATAAAATAATAATCTGTTCATTTGTTCTCGAAGTTTGTTACTATATGGACCGTTTATTTTGAAAGTGGTGTAAGTCCATTTTTGAGAAAAATGAGCTATCACGTAATTCATGCTTCATCATCATCATCATGCTTTCCTATTACCCTCTGCTGGGGTGTAGGGCTCGAATCAAATTTTTCCATTTGTATCGGTCTTGGGCAGTCTGTTCTAGCTCCTCCCACGTCATGCCCAAGACCCCTAGCTCCTGCTCCACCGAGCGACGCCAAGTTGTTCTGAATTCATGCTTAATTGAATGTATTTTTTTTATATATAACTAGTCCGTATTTAATTTCTCAAAAAAATCCCATGTTTTGTACAACTTGAAATCGGTCGGTAAATGAAATTGCATAATCATCGATTATGAAAGTGGTGTAAGTCCAATTGACAGAGGCAGGTGGCATAGCCAGACCTCATATGATTTGCCTGTATTTTTAAATCAACAAATATAGTAGTAACCTTT